GTTATGGGAAAATTTGATTCGGTTGATGACCAATTCAGTTGGCGACCACGTTCGTAGGGGTCAGAACAGATTAACCTTATGAGGAAATTTGATTCAGTTTGCGACCAATTTGGTTCGCGACCAGAACTGTGGAACGAATTAAGTTCATGAACCGAGGTACCACTGTACTACTAATCTCAGAAGTTAAGATGCTACTGTGACTACATAACAAGGAGCATTCAAACAGTCCAGGGATAATTCTAGCATGATTTGTTCTTTGCACTGCATCAGATTAGTGTGAATAATTAATAGAATAATAATTTAATAGAAATAAAGCTGCTAAAGCTTTAGTTTAAACAGAAAAAAATAAAGTAAAATTTATCCACAAAATAATTTTTAAACTGTGATCTAGAGCAGAGTTTTCCAAACTGTGTTCCATGGAATCCTTGGGATTCTATAACTTTTTTTTCCATGAGAGACTAATAGTAAAAAAAAGAAAAGATTAAAACTTCACTCAATGCAGTCAATTTTCTATCACTAGGGCTTCATCTCTTGATTGGGGTTCTGGGAATATTATTTCTGTTGGTTGCACAGTCGGCCAGATGTTTAGACTGGATTTGGTATTTTTATCCACCTATTGAGTCCCTCCCAAGGACCTGGGATAGGCAGATGTTGTTGTTTGATGGTGATAAAGGTATCATTGCAAGATGGAAGCTGTTCCAAGTAAAGACTGATGGTGATTTTGTCAATGCCGATGGTCTTCAAGTGGTACTCCAGATGTTTTGGGATTGCACCCAAGGCGCCTATTACTATTGGTACTATCAGGGAAAAAATAGCCCTTATCTTGTGATTGTTTGAACCCCCTGATCTAGTAGGTTATATAGCAACCTTTTTTGTCCTTTTGGACTTAAGTCTTATTTCTTTCACATCAAAAATGCAAACTCAGTCCAAAACACTAACTGTGATATGTTAAACAATAATTGACTCAATATTTATTGGCTAAATCAAATGAATGATCTCCATTGAACATGCAGATTTACAGCACTGATTGATATTGTTAAAAATATGCAGATATGCAGTACTGATATGTAGGTATGCATCATTGATCGATATTGTTAAATATGGAGATATGTGGCATTGATTGATATGCAGATATGCAGCATTGATTGATATTGTTAAAAATACCAGATCAAGTTTGTGTTTTTGTTTGCTAAAGATTTGGTGAAAGAAGATATGAAGAAGAGATGGCACGAATTTACAGAAGAATTGTACCAAAAAGATGCCAACATTGGCAAGTACGTAGTTCTGATTGCTGAACTAGAGCCAGCATTCTGGAAAGTTAAGTTAAATGGCCCTAGAAAATATTGCTAACAGCAAAGCTGCAGCTAATGAAATACCAGCCAAACAGTTTAAAACCTTGCACAATGATGCAATTAAAGGGCTACTTGTGGTTTGTAAGCAGGTATAGAAAGCGTCTGAATTTACAATATATTATAGTGAGACAAGTCCTTTTGCCATTGTTAGCTGGACAGCACCAGCACGTGATAAACATATTTGTTTCTTTTCCCCTATTTCCTCTTTGCTCGTTCTGTAATTAAACTGGCCAAAGAGAAGAACACAGATGGCTTGGTGTGGATAAAAAGACGTGTTTCCACACACACAAGGACTGTGTCACCTCTATTTGCAGCTCTTGAGGTATATGGCTGCTTCCACCAAAAGATCACATCCAAGAGGAAATGCGGCTCCCTCATCCCTAGAGGTAACTGGAGGAAATATTTCCCCATTAGACATAGTGTATAAAATTCAGTGTACACATTGTTTATAAACATTAACAAGTTACTGCAGTGGAACAACAGAGAAAAAGCTTCAACATACGTGAATTAGACCAGACCTACAAAATTTGGATGTGCCTGCATTTTTTCTAAAACAATACAGCAAAAAAAAAAAAAAAAAATCTTTAAATTGTCCTTTGAAGATTTAAGCTTGAATGAAGCATTTAAGGGCATGCTAGCTTGCTTTAACCATCCCCATTCATGTTTATTCTTATCTTTTATTTTTTCATTTTTCAGCTTAAATGGATCATCCCTTTAGACACTGATGCCCTGTGGAACCCCCTTCCCCAAGATCCAGTAGGCACCCAGTCTTCCAGAAGGCCTTAAAAAGCTGGCTTTTGCCCCAAGCATTGGGATCAGGTGAGGCTGGAGCCCAGTGAGTGTGAGTATTGGGGAACGGTGCTTTAGGGCACTGGGAGTTGTTTTGGGGATGTTGATTTTTATTGTTTTTTATCTTCTTATTGCTGCTGCTGTGAGCCGCCCAGAGTTAGTGGCTCGTAAGATGGGCAGCCATAGAAGTCTCTTAAATAAATAAAACAAATAAACACGACACGTTCCGAGGGAATGACACCGTATCCATGCTGAACACCTCAACAGGATTCCTATCTCATTTATGAGAAACTGACTTCTCGTCCTCACCCCCCCATAAAACATGGAGTGAGGAAATTCAAGAGGTTGAGGGGAAGGGATAGAAAAGAGGCAGAAAGGTAGAAAATCATGTAACAAATCAGTAGCAGAAGTCTGCATCAGTAGATTGCACTAGTCAATCATGATTCATTACACACAATAGAAAACTTACATTGTTTGATCGTAGGGAAACACGGCCTCCACATCTGGCACAAAACTTTGTCCGGCAGTAAGAGCATAAATGGCCACAACCATCAGCAAACTTAGTTTTGTGACAGATCCCACACGTGGGTGCATCATCCTTGTGTTCTCCTTGGTAACGGCGAGATTCCTCACCTATTTTTCGTACTTGCTCTTTGTAACTTTCAAATTGTTGGTGTAATCTTCTGTAAAGAAAGCAAAACTCTTATCGCAAAAGCATCCAGGCAAACTCACTCACTAAATGATTTGCTCTACTTCAGACAGTTGCATATGCCAGTCATAATTCTTATTCAAGTGCCAGATTTCTTTAAAAAAATGAATTTAATATCTGTAAATGGGATTTATGAAACTATCTGTTCTACTTTCATATACTGTTAAGGAAGCCATTTAAGTAATCAAAAATGCAATGCATATCCATAGATTTGGGAGTAGCATGAAGAGGTTTTGTTAAAATATCTTAATAAACTCCTGTTTTTCTGCCATACATACAATTTCAGAATTATAGGCAAATTTCAGCACAAAAAAAGGCAGCAAGAAAAGTATTCAAAATGAAAGGAACTTTTCTTGACTTTGTAAATTCACTAAAACATTTCAAACTGTTTCCTTCACTTTAGAATAGGAGAGTCAGAATTATCCCTTTACAGGTTTTCGTAAGAACTCTGCCAATATTTTGCTCATGGCATTTTCATTATGAAAGTTGTCATGCAAACATAAACTGAAGTACAAAATGCAGACAATAAGATTTGGCTTAATTCCTTAATCCTCTTTCTTATTATGATTTTTTTTTTTAAGGCTAGTATATCAGAGGTATGGTCCTACCTGTCTCTATTGCCAAAACTGAAAGACAACCACCTTGAAGCCATATAAAAGAAAGTGGAGTGGGACTGAATTTCTTAGATAACTTATAGACCAGATTATACAGTACTGTATATTGCAGGAGAAACCTAGAAAGGAGAAGATTCAATTTGATTTTCAGTAGAACAGGCATATGAAGTGTGTTCATCACAGAATTTTTGTAACATTTAAAAATTCTGTTTGAATCTGCCAATAGTTCTAAATGAAAACAAGGAGATCCAACAGGAAATTTCCTGTAAGACACACAATTGTAATCTTTAGCTGGCAATATCTACTATGGTTCTCTTCTCTGCCTGAGACTCTAGAGTAAGAAAGTATCAACTGCTATGCAAGATCCTGACCACCACAGAACATTACAACTGGTAGCAGATGTGCAGTTCCATTTAAGTATGAGGATTAAATCTAAGCATGAACCTTTTGTATACAGGTGCTGATTTGCATTTTCTTTTCAATATTTTTCTTTATTCTTTCAATTCATATTTAATAAGCATAATTGTCGTGTTCACATCTACATGATAATCATCAGAAGAAACTCATCCTTCCAAGACATACATCAGAGGCACCTTCTAGCATGGTGACAATTCGGTCAACATTATGTACCATAGCAAAGAAATAAGGTGTAATATCTAATATATTCATTGCCTTCCATTCTAACGCTTGCCCAGCAGATGGCACCAGAGACTGCCATTAGTCATCCCTGAGATTTCAAAGATGTGCTTTTCGTTTTGGGATAATACTTTTATGATGCAAAACTCTTCTTATACCAGAAATAAAATAATGGCTGTGCAGGTAGGAATCAATGAATGTGTTTTAAAGCCCACACTAACTTCAAGTGCTCTGGATTTGAAAGTGACTAGTATTCCGCTTCTACTCACAATAAATTATTCAGCACTTGAATCTTGACCAAGAAATTATATGTCCACAAACAGACCTCCAGATTTAGAACTTTGTGTTTTGTACTCCTGTGCACAGTAGAAAGTGCACTTCTCCTATTTCCAATTTTATATCAGATACATATAATAAGCCTTATTATATAAGCTCAGTTTTCATCTAGAAGTTACCATATTTATATGAGGAGAGTGAAAGAGTTCATTTTAGTTCATTTATCTCTATGGCTTTAGGAGCATGAATAAATGTGACTTTACTGTATTTCATGCACGTCTATGAGAAACTCTTTTTTAAGACAACTTTTTGGATTCCTCTTTAGAAAACCGCCATAAGAAACTGCTGTAACAGGGTGGGGAGAGCCAAGTCAAACCCTCATTGAATGGAGGAGCTCCCTGAATGAACCCAGGGCAGTCTTAGTCTAACCTACGGCACCAAGGTCTAAGAATAAAATAGGAAGGAGAACCCTGTATGTTTCCAGTGAGCGCTTCTGAAGGAAAAGTGGGAGGAAAATGAAATGAACGCTTTCTGTGGGATCTCCGTGCAGTTCTGTGTAAGGAATTTCAAGCCCTGCCTGTGGGAATTGATCTGGAATACTAAAGCACTTACCGGCTCTCCTTTGCCTTTTTCATGCATCATGTTAAACCATATCTGGGCTTGGTTTTGGCTTAGCGTGTTATGTAAATGCAGTCGCTGTGGTTTACAAAGTGTGGTGTATGCCTTAAGCAACATATGGAACTAACCAACTGGGGTTTACTCAACAAGCCACAGTTAACACAAACCACACTTTCCTATGATATGTAAAACCATGTTCTTGAAACTGTGGCTAGAAACATAAGTAAAAGGATCTCTGGGCAGCCTTGTATATCTCTCCGTCTCTCTCCTTCTATTGTGAAAGCACCTTAGGATTCTGCTCTGCTATCATAAAGGATTCTGAGCTTGGAAACAGGTGAGAGAAATAAACTAGACTTCCAAACATATTGAGGATTATGAGTACCTTTTAACTCTCTTGGTTTCAACACAAGAGCACGAAGGAGGCAGACATTCCGTGGTGTTTCCTCCCTGACACAGCCCAGACATCCTTATAATTTTCCACCCCTCCCCTGCTCTTTGCATAGAGGATTCTGGAACAAGAAGAATTCTACAAATCCCAAAAGCATAAAAAATTAAAACATAATATGTAACTATTTTTATTTATTATTATTTTTTAGGTAAGTCAATTGGTGCTCTATATTTTATACACCTCAAAAGCTGCAAAATAATTATCTAATGAAAAATACAGAGGCTTCAAAATCTTGGGAACTAAAAAGGAGCAACTGGCTGGTTATGAATCAGTGATTTATACCAGCTGTAGTACAGGAAGCCAAATGCAGAAGCTTCCCACTATTTTTCCCCAGAAGATCACAGACACCTGCTCAACCAGGAAGTTTTTCTCAAGCCACTAGTAATTATTATCACTATTATTTTTAATCTTAACACATTTATATGTCAAATGAACCACTAATGAATGTTTCATGTATTTCTGTTGTTTCAAAAGAGACTATTCTTGTTTATGACTAAATGCGATCAAGCATTTTAAGAATACTGTACTCCTAAGTTCACTAGGACACATTCTCTCTTTCCTTCCTCCTCCCCTTTTCCACAATAAATAAACTGAATTTTATTTAAAATATCCGGTGACAAGAACACTGCTAATGAGTAACTAATAACCATTCCTCCAGAACTAAGATGTGAAAAATAGAGTTGAGGTTTTTTTCTCCTTTGCAGCAAGTACCTCTTTTGCTACAACCACTAGAGAAGCCAGCTTTGGCATTTACAGGTCCATTTCCTCCTCATATTGTAACTGATTGCCAGACTTTAGGAATACCTACTGTAGGTGTGATGGAATGTGTCTACAAAGTGGGAGGTGATGTGATGGACTACAGTAATGCAGCAGGTTCTCAGGAAGGAGGAAGCACATTCCAGGAAGGCGGGGGGGGGGAGTGAGACAACAGACAACACAGTCCGGAGCAGGAGCGTGGGAAGAAGAAGAGAATTTAGGACAGCCACTCCCTAGAATCTCCCAGGGTATATCCACTAGGTTAGAGTAACATAGATTTAGTCTGGCAAGATTCTGTCTATATGGTGTAAGCAATAAAAGAACTGAACTTGGGTGGACTGTTTCTCTGTCGTTCTTGGGCTGGGCCTGACAAGAGGTCTAGCATGAGGAACCAGACACTCACTACTAATCTTAGTAAGTGAAACTTGCACTAAGAAGCCCATTCTGGTGTGGTAGTTAAGGTGTTGGTCTAGAACCAGGGAGACTCAAGTACAAGTCTGCCCATAGCCACAAAAGCTCTGTGGGTGATTTTGAACCAGTCACCCAGTCTATCTCACAGGACTGTTGCGGGGAAAAAATGAGAAAAGGGAGTGCTAGGTATGTCACCTCCAGCTCCAGAAGGAAAGGCAGGGCATAACTCTAATGAATAAACAAGAGCATACCCTTATATGCAGCCACTTCTTGCAACAGTCATTTCTTGCAACAGACCAAGCAGTACACATCACCTTTCAGCCAGCATTTGCATGTTTTGATGTTTCTCCATTGATTTTCCTATTTTTAGTAAACAAAGTCACCTATTTGCTCTACTTTCCTACCATTTATTTATAACTTGTGATTATTCATTACATTCTCCCTGTCAAACACAACTGTATTAATTTTTAGATCCACACCCATCATTGCATCACAGAGTTTATCTAATACTCGCCATGAATCGTCCAGATTCTCTACCAGCTGCACAGCATCATCCATGCACAAAATGCCTGGACAGTCACATCCCCAACCAACAGCCTCCAGTATCACAAGAATTCCTTAAAGATTTGTCCGTAAATACATTACACAATAAAGGGGACATTACACATTGTTATCTTACTCCCCTGTCAGTGTTGTAGTACTGGATTTATTTTCATACTTCCTTTGCTTCCATCATATCTCTTTTGTCATACTGTGTTGTTGAACTAGGAACAGGGAGATCAAGGTTCAGATTCACTCTTAACCATGGAAGCTAGTTGGTGACTTTGGGCCGGTCACTGACTCTCAGCAAAATGTGTTTTACAGGCTTGAAAAAATGAAGCTGTCTTAAATGCTTGGAGGAAACAAGGGATGAAAAAAAAAATCAAAAAATAAATAAATAATAATCAGACTTCAACTTCATATTCATGCAGAACATTTCATAATTCAAGCCTAGTTTTATCATACACTTTTTCTGAAAGAACATAAAATACTGTTTCTTCCTCATTTCATATACTTCTCAATGACCTGCCAGAAAGCAAA